TATGTTATTTTCTCACAAATTTAATTAATTAGTATAATAATTGCATTTAATATTTGAGCTGAGTTTTCATAAGCAACTTACAGCTGATCTAATACTGAGCCCTATGCCTCAGAGAATATCTTTATACATTTTTGGATTAAATAATCCAAAAAAGGGTGTTTAAAACACTCAAACTAGCTGAAACAGAGATTGGAAGATGAGTCACTAAAAAGAAAATAATTAGTATGGTGCCCTTAGATCAGTAGGCGCATATGACTTGCACTGTAAAGATTCACTTTTGATGGTTTCTTAACAGACCTATATTGTATTAGTGAATTGGAGCATAGCTATTCCTTTAGAAATTGGTTTCAGTGTAGTGTTTGATAGGTTAGTGTACGCTGTAAAAGAACATGATAATATTTCCCCATGAAGATGTGGCTCTGTGCCAGTTTGTACACAACCTACTGATCATCTGTACTTTCTCCTTTCTTTTAAGGCAGGGATGTAAAAATACAGCCCATAGGCTGCAGCCAGCCAACAGAACTGTTGCACCAAGCCCACTGGTAGTGGGCTACTGGAGGTGCATGCCCTCAACTCTGCACTGCCAAATGCTTCCAATAGTGCAGACTGGGCATAGCTCTGTGCTGTTGAGCAGCATCATGGGGGTGGGGGCGGGCAGCTGCTTATAGCTGTGTTTGGGCAGCAGTGCAGAACTGTGGCTGGTCTGTAATGCTAGGGACATGTGGCTGTGTGGAGCTGAGGGCATGTGGTGGCACAGAGCTGTATTCAGGTGTCAGTGTGGAGCTGCTGCTCATAGTCCATGTCTTCCCTGCTCCATGCCCCCGGCTCTAGTGATGTGCCACTAGCCAAAGATGGCTCAGTGCTGCTGCACACCTGTGGCTCCTTGCCAACGTGTGTCCCTGGCTCCACACCACCCACATAAGTCTCCCTGTTATTGCACACCCCTGAACCCATGCTGTCACCCAACTGCAGACTCAAACTACCATCTAAATGCAGCTCTGTGGTCTGGATATGTCCTGGAGTGAGATTGACATTCCTGTTATAAGGGGAAGACAGCACAGCAGTTCTAAATGACACACAACTTTACATTAGTAAGAGCAACATTGTGGTATTGATTGTAAAAACACAACCCCCCCCCCCGTACCATAGAAAACAGCAGTCATTTAAGTTGCATCTGTTTATGAGCCTAAATTTTTATCTTGTCACTTGTAAACAGTCTTTGATTAGAGGACAGTATACTATAGTTAGTGATAGCTTTGTAGTTCCAGTGCAAACAAAGCAGCTGTCAGCATCTGTGTGGTTTAATTAGATATGCCAGCTAGGGCCTTATCATTACACCTTATACTGTGAGCTGCTCAAATGTTGTTCAGCTTAGTCCTAGCTTAGAGTTTGGAGCAGCCACACCTTCAACTTGAGTGCAACATGTGTGGGGAGTGACCATATCATAATGGAATGGGAGCTGGGTTGTATGGATCAAAAGATAATCCTGCCCTGGAGTGGTGTAACTTTGAGATGCATAACAAGTCCTTTAAGCCATTTAAAAAGTGTTTATGTGTGGACAGTCAAGGGGTTAAGATGGGGTAGGCTATTATTTTGGGTGGAGGGCCACTTACCCAGTTTGGGTAAGCTGTCGAGGGCCCCATGGGTAGCCCCGCCACTTGACAGGTGCCCTGTCACTTGACAGGTGCCCTGCCCCTGGTGACCATCTTGGGACCAGTGTCCCAATGTCTTGGGACCAGTGTCCCAGGGCCAGCATCGGTGGGGCACAGGCTGGCAGGGGTCTGTGGAGCTGGGCTGGGCTGCACCAGCAGGGAGAGGGGGGAGCTGGCCCAGCTCCATAGAAGCCCTGCTGGCTGGGACCCCACACTCCTGCCACCCTGCTCTGGGCTCTGCTGGCACTGGCCCTGGGAGATTGGTGCAGGCCCCGTGCTCCCGCTGGCTCCCTGTCCACTCACTCCCAGTGCTCCCCAGTCCTGAGGTACAGGCGGGGGCCAGTGCACCCCCTGCTTGCTGGCAGGGAAGAAGCTGGTGCTGAGCGCGGGGAAAAGCAGTCCCTCGCCTGCCCCATGGCTGGCTCTCCCTGCTGCAGGCGCTCGCAGCCCATGCGGGACTGTCTGGAGCAGGCACAGGCAGCCCCACACGGGCTGTAAGCGGCTACAGTGTGGGGCGCTGGCCATGGGGTGAGCGAGGGGCCACTTCTCCCCCCTCTCCGCACCACCTTGTAAACCGCCACTTCTCCCCGCTCTCAGCACCACCTTGTAAACCAGCCCTGCTGCCAGCATGGGCTCCAAGCCGGCTCTGGTCTTGCCTGTCAAAGCTGTGTGCTTGCTATGCTGGGAAGTGTTTGCTGCTGCTGCCCTCCCGGAGCTCATGCACTGGGCAGCCCACAGGCGGTGGTGGCAAACACTGCCCAGCGTGGCAAGCGGTGGGGTCGCAACTACTGTCACCATCTGCAGCCCACCTGGCAAGCCTGAAGCTGGCGCAGGGTCCAGGCTGGCAGCAGGGCCAGGTCACAAGCTAGTGCTGAGTGTAGAGCGGAGAAAGCGGCCCCTCGCCCGTCACATGTCCAGTGCCCCACCCTGCAGCCGCTCGCCACCTGCGT